TCCACCATTGTGAAGCAAAAAGATCTTTGGGGAAAGATTATTTTGGGCAATGAAAGATATATACCAATAAAATTCCTTTAACTAGGTGTGGCTGCTGGAAGGTATCATACTGAAACAACATGACCCAGTTCCTACTAGGTCACATAAGAACCTGGGGTTCATCATAAGTTACCCTCCTACCACAGGTGGATAAAAAATCACTGCCCAAAGAAGATTGGGATTAAGTGTGTCCTGAAAGTAAAGGTTCCCACTAGGTGATAAGTCTTCTCAAATGGTACACAAGAAGGAAATCAAGATCAATAATGGATAAGTTTCTCAGATGGTCAGAAAAAAAAAGGATATCCCAATCAGGCATTTCTTATTGAGAAGAGGTCTTAAAAAACAGGTCTTTGGAGGTAGCTGGAAATATTTTTTTTTATTTTTTATTCTTTTATTTTCTTGTAGTCTACTTAGACAATTTTAGATATCACCCTTCCCTTTTTTCAATCCATTCTTTTGTAGTTTCCTGTAATCCAGCAGCTTGACCAGACATATGGCAGTGACAACCTGCTGACAATGATGTGGTGGACTAGAAGGGTCTTTACCCAAAGACACTATGGAGTGAAATATTATCCCCAAGGCTGAATTTAAAGACTTTATGCTTACGACGAGTTTGTTAAATTAGAAGAATAGTTTAGCTGTAGTATGTTTCATGCTGCTCGAATGAAAGTATACTAATGTTTTCAATTAATTAATAAACTGACAATTTAGTCTGGCTATGGGTATACAAAAAAAAAAATAATAATCAAGCTAATTATAAGAAGATCAAATATATAGTATATGAAAAAAATAACTGTTTAGGATGTAAAGAGTAGAAAAAAATAATAGAACATCTTATATAATATCTAAAATATAAAAATATAATAAAAAAAGTTTGATTAAAAGAAATAGATATAATATATTAAAAATTTAATAAAAAAAGATAAAAATAAAAAGATCAAGCTTAGAAAAAATATAGTAATATATTGATAATTAATTGAAAAAAAATAAGAGAAATAAAAGTATAATCAATAAAACTTGTAAGAAGAATATCTGAAAAAAGTTTAGAAAATTAGTTTTCTCTTAGAGCTAATTAAAAGAGACCTATTAATAAAAGTTGAAGAACTAGAATGTAAAGAAAAAAAGATAGAATAATAGACAAAAGATAAATACTTTATTATAAAAAAAAGGTTTTGAACTATTTCAGGAAAAAAGTATAGAATAAACAATATAAACAAGTAATAGAATAAGAAAAAGCTTAATGATTTTTTTGAAAAAATAAAATAAAAAAATTCACAAAATCCTATTTAGCAAAAAAAACAAAAAGTTCAAAAGGTGAAAAAAAGAAATTCAAAGAAAAATACTTAGAAAAAGATTTAACTATAATAATAATGATAAGAGTTAAAAGTGATATAAAATGATTAGATTTTAGGTTCAATCAGAATTTTGGCTAGTGATTTGCAGTAATGAGTTGTAGACAATAATGTTCATAATAAAGAAATATTAATCTAAACTATAAATAGAATGACAAATTACTTTCAAAGTTATATTTAAAGTTTGAAAATAAATCAAGACAAGTGAGTTAGTTAATATTTTAATTTTAGCAATATTATAAATAATATAGCCTATATTATGTTTAATAAAGTATATATAATTAATCTAAAAATAGATAAAAAAAAAAAAAAGTAATAATTAATAAATTTTAAATATCTTATATGTAATATATTATACAATAAAAACAAGTTATATTGGTTTAAAATAATCTTTATACAAAGTGATTTACAAAAAATTAACTTGTTTTTATAATTACTGTAAATTTAATAATTTCAACTTTTTATCAAATTTATCAATAAAGAATTTAATTTATCTTAGAATTTTATAAGTATAAAATAATTGAAATATACAGTATCTTATACTAAATAGTTTATTGATATAATAAATAAACAATATACTATTAGCTTGATTTAATGGACATTGCAAAAAATTAAAAATATTTTAATTTTAATATTTGTATTTCATGCCTTTTTAAATAAAAAGAAAAAAAATTTTTTTTTTGAAAACGTCAATAAAACAGTAAATTTAGACATGCATAAAAAAAAAAAAAAAAAAAAATCCGTATAATCAAGTTTTGAAATTAAAAAGTCAGTCGTTGGACAGCCAACCTGATTCTCCTAAAAGGGTAACACTTCTCCGAATGGGGTCCATGGTGCTCTCGGAAATCTTGGAAACCGCAATGTTGACGTCGCATTGTTTGGTGAGTATGAACTAAGCCTTACGGGAAAGCTCATTCACCCTATCGCCGAGATACTCGTTTCTGCCGGTAAAACGAAAGAAATAATCCCAGGCGGCGGTGGTATCGCTTCTAAATCATGTCAAGTCGGGCTGGAGCCGCAATATAAAAATAAACGAATATGTTGTGACCATCAACAACTTTCTTCTTTGACCATTTATGTATTAGCCTGGAGAAGCGATGTGAAATCATGAAAGGTTCGATGCGATGTGATTGATGGTAAAGTCGAGCTCATCGAAGTAATCCGCGAGTAGTAACCATGACCCTAACGAGAACTTTTGTGTCAATTTATTGCTTTATAGAATAAAAGAAAGTTATGACGCTCGGTGAGACTAGACAAGGAACAAGCACCAAGCACCATTTGATGACAATCAAATGGCGATTTTTGTATTGCATTGCATGTTGATTTTCAAAATGGAATGGAAGCGCCTATATGCTGGCCCTTTCACATTTTTGCCTTTAACAGTCGATCAAATGAAAAGAAAAATTTTCGCTTCAACACACGTGAAATGTATATATACATCAAATCGAGATTCGCACAAATAGTTTATGAAAATATAAAATTTAAACTTCACATATTTACATTTTTTACATAATAAATAGTAAGTTAATATAATTATTGCTATTCGATTGTTATTCATAAACCAAAAAGATCTCACGCAACTTCTTTGCGGATGACGCAAATAACTAATGGGCATTCAACCTTCCACAAAGCCTCTCTTCCGCGTTCGGCCCTGGATAAACCATATTTTCTCCTTTCACCTTTGCCGACTTCCTTTGTAGCAGAATCTCTAATATTCGTTAAAAGATAATCCAACTTATTACTATCAAATCTCTCATTATTAGGTTTCAACAAGTCGCTACCCAATCCTATCACAGCCAGATCCGCTAAGGTCTTTGCGTAGTAAGAAGATGATATTTTATGAGATTCAAGTTTCGCTTTCGTTGCGGATTCTTCCCTATTTAAGACTTGGAGAATCTCTCCCTCATATAAAAGTTTTTCGCGTGCATCGATGGCCTTATTCGCATTTTCCACTGTCACCAAATCGTGAAGACGATCTTTGTAGTATTCAATGTTAATATAGGAAAATTCGGAACTCGCATCATAATAGGCTATAAACATTGCGCTTCCGGTTCTCAGCAGACCATAAAAGTATTTAACGAAATCGATGATATCCGCATACGGGTCGGCACCCTTGTCGCTGTAATCTGTTCTATGAGGTGAAATTTATTTTATTTTATTTTTTTTTTTCGGAAAATTTGAACGGATAAAAGGTAAATAAATTACCAGTTTCAAAGAAATTAATGAATTGCATCGATAAAATACTTACAAATTGTGGATTGCATGCGTAAAGTTGATGAAGTCGAAAGTTTCTCGGAGTTTCGTTGGTGGTTTTTGACTAGGTCTATAATAATCTTGAACCTTTCCGGTATAACATTTACCAAGATATAGGAGGGTATTCTTTATTTTTTCATCACAGGAGACAGATTTTTGGTTGGGTTCAATTAAATGCATATATACTTTCTTGCGAGAAACAATTTTTTCTTTAGTGTAAAACCAATCTATGACGTCCCCATTGCCGCCATCAATGTATAAAATATTAATTTCTTCGTTATTAAGAAACTCGAATGTTCCTCGGAATATGTTCTGTAATAGGGATGCCGTGAGTTCTCGACCGTCTAGCTGTAAATAATCCGCTGGGGATTCCACCTTATTAATGCCACGTTTTAAAGTTGATAATTTTTCATGTACTTTAGCATGCGCATCTTTATTGGTGATGTCTCGGAATTGCTTAAGAGTTTCATTTTCGGCCTCTGCCTCCTGTTCGGATTTAGCAATATTACTGATGGAGTTCATTTGCCGTTGAAGGTAGAATCCTAAGAGGTGACTCTGATGCAAATATTTATATGAAATATATGTAACATTGATTGCTTTTTTAGGGACATGACGATTACATGAAAAAAAAAAATACCAGGTTAGCTTCTGCATAAATTTTATTATGGCGTCACCTGGCACATCTGCTTGGAACTTGTATATACATCATCGAATATTCTTTTGTGCGTAATTTGTTACGTAGTTATTGTTTGTGCGAGGGATGAGTAAAAAAAAACCGGTTTTGTGGCGTATTAGAAGTTTCGAGATTCAAAATAAAATGATCGTCGGAGATTTTTACACATACTAGAATGACCACATCGAAAGGAACATTCATTCTATTGCCGCCAATTCCTGTAGATGTTGGCAAGGCTCGTTGTAGGGTATCTAGAGTCACAATAGATAAACAGAAGGTTGTTGAGGGTCAATGGGTCCGCCTATGTTTCGGAGAGGCGGTCAGTTTAAATAGAAGTTCACCCTTATAACACGATATGCTGCAGGGTGGATTATTTGGTTTTTTTTTTCTTTGTTTCCGATAAAGGTTTTAATGGTATATATTATTTTACCTGCAAACCAATCTTATTTAGTCAATTTTTTGTCGCATCTGGCAAGCAAACATACCTGAAGGCATAATTCAGGCGGACAGTCTTATTTCACTGAAAAAGACCGACACCCTCATTAACAACCTTCCATATAATCGTGAATGTATGTAAAAAAAAATTGCATTCAATAAATAGGAACAAATATTTCTGATTCGTAGCGTATATATATATATATACATTCATTCATTTATTTATTTACGAATAAAATCATTAATTTAGGTTCCCTGTTGCCTTTAAAACATCCGTTGCGAGTCGCCATTGATGTTACGGTAATTGTCAGGTTCAGGCGGGTTAATGGAAAGGATGTGGAAAAAAGGCAACTTTACGACCTGGGTTTTGTTTGGAAAGATGGATCGGAAGGCGTCAAGTGCCAGGTCAGGAGATATTTCACCTCAGGATGAGTTCGATTTTCCGCAAACAATAAATCGCCAGAACCCTATATCACTCAGACTATAAGAAGTATGTTAAACAATATGCTTGTGTGCAAAGGATTTGTGGTATCCGATGAAAAGCGTTGCCTAGAAATTGAGGTATTGCATCTCAACAGTTTCTGTGTGTCCGAATGATTGATATCACGAACGGTACCATGTGGCTCATGCTTCGAACGATTTTCAGATTCTCAATGCATCTCCTTCCGATGTCGTATTGCTTTTCACAAAGGACACACTCATCGATTTCCTCGATAGAGAAAACCATGAGGTGGATCCAGGTAACGCGAACGACATCGATTCGGTGAGCACGTCATTGCAAGCCGTGAAACTGGAGGAGGGTGGTCCTAAAGATAAAGAAGCTGTTCCCGGACTGGAGCAAGCTTATGAAGCACTTTACGAAGTCGTTAGTTATCCATTGTTGTATCCGGATTTAATTCAACGGTTGAACATCGAATGTCCCAAAGGTCTGCCAAACTTGCACATTCAACGGTCAAGCGTGTCACCGCTCTCCGTAACTTCTTCTTATACTTCATTTTTAGGTGTCTTGATTTATGGTCCACCCGGAGTCGGAAAAACCTTTCTCGTCAACGAAATCGCAAAGGCCTGCAATGCAAAAATGGTAACTTCATATTGAAACGAAAGAAAGGTACAACTATTTTTCTATTTTCACGCGCCAATTTCTTGCCATCTCAGGTTTCGATTAATGGGCCGGACGTGTTTGGCACGTATGTTGGCGAAAGCGAATCGAGATTACGAGATATATTTTCACAGGCTAGATCCTTAACTGTCGATGAAAATTGTCCGGTCATTTTGTTCATTGATGAATTGGTTCGTACCTCTTCACTAATTATGTCCTTAAATATTGGATCATCCATGTTCTTATGCTATTCACGGGTAGGACGCGCTGACACCTCACAGGACCGAAGCGCAATCCCACGAATCACGCGTGGTCGCGCAGCTTTTGACACTGATGGACGGTATGAAGTCCCGAGGGAGGTTTGTGGTCATTGCGGCGACCAATCGACCAAATGCTATTGATTCGGCTTTAAGAAGGCCCGGACGGTATTATCAATTGTTTTTAACCTGGGTGCCTTCCGGTGAATGTTGTGGTGATGTTTTCTATTTTTTAATTGTCAGGTTTGATCGCGAAATTGCGGTTGACGTGCCATCGGAAGAATCACGTTGTAAAATTCTGAAATTACAGACATCCACCATGCCTCTTGATGAGGAAGTTGATCTCGGTGGGATCTCTAATGATATCTCATCGGTCGTTTCTCTTTTTTCTCGTGTGATAACGTGAATTCTTGTTCAGCATTGTTGGCTTCCATTACGAGTGGATACGTCGGTGCCGATTTGGCGTCATTTTGTCGAGAGGCCGCGATGAACGCTGTACATCGTAAATTAAAGTTAATTCATGTTGATGAGGAAGAATCCTCAAGGTGTGTGTCGCGTGACCTCATTCGGCAAGACCTTATTTACGAAACATAACTCATTATTTCTATTCAGTACTTCATCCATCGTCACCATGAGCGATTTTTTGAATGCGATGTCGCGTGTTCTTCCTTCAATGCAACGTGGATTTCAAGTAAACATTGAGAAGACAAGTTGGAATGATATCGGCGGTTTGGAATTGGTTAAGAAGGTAGGCTCGATAATATCGTGGGTTGTGCGTTCGTGGGGATTCGCGATGACACCCATTCTTGGGTTTGACCATGTTTTAGCAAATCATTCAAGCTGTTGAATGGCCCCTGAAACGGCGTGACACCTTTAAAAGGTTGGGTTTGAAATCGCCTCGAGGAATACTGTTGTATGGGCCACCGGGATGCAGCAAAACCACTCTAGTTAAGGTAAGGGTAGGGTTTCAACCGACTTTTGTATCCCATTGTAGTCAGCATTCACAGATTTAACTTAGGCGATGGCTTCGACTTCCGGAGTCACATTTCTTTCCGTAAACGGTGCCGAACTTTATTCACCCTTCGTCGGTGACTCGGAAAAAATTAGTAACTTTTTATTTCCTACCATTATAAATGCTTATTCCGATAACGCTTGATATTGAAAGTATCGCGTTGTGTGTTTAGTAAGGTCCACTTTTCGAAGAGCTCGCTCATCGACTCCTTCTATCATATTCTTCGACGAAATTGATGCTATTGTCGGAAAAAGAAGGTTGGGCAAAGTTTCGGATGGCGGTGATGGCGTACAAGAGCGTGTGTTGTCGACGTTATTAAATGAGATGGATGGCGTCGAGATTACAAATAATGTTCTTGTGGTGGTGAGCTTTTCTTGGTGTTGTCATTTGCTAATCTTGGATCGAGTAATCATCATCTAACATCTAGGGAGCTACAAATAGACCAGACATGCTTGATGATGCATTATTGAGACCTGGAAGATTTGACAAACTCATCTATGTAATTAGTCGTTTCTCTCAAAATTGTGAGAAGTGGAACCAATTAATTTATAATTTGCATAATGGACCTTCCTTCTTCAGGTTCCACCGCCGGACCTCCCAGCAAGAAAACACATTCTAAGAATACACACTTTAAAAACCCCACTGTGCGAGGATGTTGATCTGGATGTTATTGCAGAAAAGGTAAATTTTCCTGTGTAATTCACGTTGAGGTTTTGTTTTAAATGTAAAGGTTTAATTTGATGTCGTCAACCAAGACTGAAATGTACACCGGAGCGGATCTTATGAACCTATGCAGAGAATCCGCTATGATTTCGTTGCGGGAAGCGAATGATACAATAGGAGTGGTAATTTCAGTTGTTTATTACTTTGGGCTTTGAATTTAACCGCCGAATTCCAAAATAATTTATTTTCCCGTAATATACGAATAGAACATGTCAAATTTCTTTAGTGCGTTGAAAGTGGTGAAACCTTCGTTAAATGATATGATGAATTATGGAAGTATGTTTTAGTTTAATAAGTTTCGGATTTGTTATTTATATATCTCGATCATTGAACAGACTTATTATGAATTCAAAATTGTGGAGGCATTAGGGTTCATTATTTATTTGTTTGTATTATAAATTCCAATTGATAAAATCGTTGTAGTAAAAATACAGAACTTTTAAATAAAATTTGTAAAATGTGTTGAAACAACCAAAAGGTACCAAAACACTCTGCCCGGAGTAAACGTAACAGGCACCACAACGGCATGCAAAGACTTGGAATCGATCGTTTTTCCGAAATAAGCTGTTAATTAAAGTTTACGGGCAGTGCCCAATGCAGTTCCACGGTAATAACTCGGTGCCGGATAAGAACATCAGTATATTTGGTTGTCGCTCACGCCAAAACTTTGTGAAGACGGCCGTGATTAAAAAAAAGAGAGTAGAATATGTTTTCCATAGTAACCTACGAAAACGTTGACAGGTGTGACGACCGGAGCAACTGCAATTGAAAACCTCATAAGTTATTGAGAAAGAGCAACTAAAGCTTGAGCAAAACCGAAACGTACTTTGAGGTGAAAATGTAGACTAATTCAACGAGAGGATATGCTCTTGGCAGGCAACCAGGAAAGCACTTTCTAATTTTATTCTTCTAAAGAAGTTTGTCGTGGCCCCGAAGTGAAGATTACTCAGCTGATCCTCTGGAACTAGGGATCCTATGCTATATTTTAAAGCAAACCATTCGCTTCGGAACCTCGACGACCCTCTTTAGAGCAAAAAAGAGAGAAAATACTCCTGATAACCCGCCGGAGAACACATCCAGGTCAGCGATGTGTATGTTAGGAAAGTTAATGAGCCGAGGTATTTAGAAGAAATACGAAACTGATTGAGATTGAAAAGATACGGAATAATACGGAATAATGTAACAAACATTTAAAGGATTTACGTCAAATAAAGGAAATGATCCATTTATTGATAGATAATGAAATAAATATTTTTCGCAATATCAACATAACGGGTTACTACAATCACCCTGCAGCATAAAATTAAAACAATAGAAATGTTTGTTATTATTTGGCGGGCGTTACCTTCTTGTCACGTGACCGATTATCTATTAGATAATCACTTAATTAAAAAATTATTAATTTATTTAAAAAAAAATAATTTTTTGTTTACAATATATTAATAATTTATATCGTAAAACGTCATATAAACCAGCCTTTAATATATTTAAAAATAGAAAATCGTATTATAAACTTTTATTCAATAAAAATTTATCTTTAATATTAAAGTTATATAAAAGTAAATAATATTTTCTTAACATTAATTAATTTTTAATTTTGAACTTTGCAAATTTAAAATACTATTATATATTTTTATACTTTTAAGAAAAGTGAATTAACTATATTATTATATATTTATATTTAACCCATAATCAGTTCAATATTATATATTTATTAATTATTAAGAAAATTAATAGAGATACATAAGGCAATTGCATTATGGATAAACTAAAAAACTTATACTGACATACTCATCAATGACTTTCAATTTTTAAAAAAACCCTAGCATCTAAATATAACCTTGGAGACAATATTTTGCTCTGGACTAAGTTTTGAGTAAAGATCCTTCTAACTTATCCATTATTATCAGTAGGTTGTTACTGCTTATTATTCTCCAAAGAATTGAATTCGAGAAACTACAAAAGGAAAAAGGAAAAATAAAAGGAAAGGGAAATATCTAAAAATATACAAATATATTATATGAAAAAAAAAAATTAAAAATAATTTATGTCCTTCAAAAAATCTTTGCTAAAAACCTCTTCTTATTAGAAGTCAACTTTTCTGAAATATTCTTTTTTTTCTTGATCATCTGAAGAACTTATTTATTTATACTCTTGATTATTTTCTTGTGACTATTTGAAATACTTATCACCTACTCAAATCCAATGTCTTATTTAACACTTTCTTTTTCTCAGTCTTGATTTTGTATTCACCCGTACAAAAGAAAATAACTAATAATAGATCCTAGATTCTTATATAACTTTTTAATCTTGTTGAGTAATTCCCGATATCTTTCAGCAGTCACACCTAGTTAAAGGAATTTTATCGGTGTTTGTTTTTGATTGCAATATCATTATTCAATATCTGAAAAAATATATTCTTAATTTTAAAGAAGGGCAGTGTTTTACATTCCTCTACTTTTCAGTCTTACAGCCTAATCAGAATAAATAAATAACCTTCTTCATGTACTTTGCCTTGAAGTTGAAGATCTTAGCTTGAACAAATAACCGCCTTTTTATCATCTAGAAAATTTAGTGCTTATCCTAATGACTTTATGATTTCTTTACTTCAATTAAACTTCATTTGGAAAAGTGGAGGAGTTTGTATCCTTGATTTTTCTTTCAATTACCAATGACATTATCAAAACATATAAGATGATCAATAGAAGCTTGTTTACATTCAGTTATTAACATATTTCATGTCAATTAATCAGATACCAGATAACATTATACTATCAAAAATTTAGGACCAAACTGAGGGAGGCAAAATTTCTTAAGAAAACTATAAAAAACAACAAGTACTTTAAGAGGGTATAAAACAATATATGAGAAAATAGAAATAAGCCTTCTTTTATCAATAAAATCTCTATTTCTTGTTACTTTCAGCTCTATAAGGTGACATTCCACTTGTCAGTCCTTTTATTTCCTAGAACCTTCTTGCCTTTAGTAGAGAAAGTACATACTTGAGTCTTTTTAAACTACTAGAGGCTCAAGTTTTTGCTCAAAGAAGTTTAAAACAAGTAAGCGAGGGTAGGAGAAATAAATAAAGATACAGTAAATTTCAAGTTGTTTTAATGAAAGTATAAAGACTTTATTAGTAAGGAAGTATAAAACTTCTTGTGAACATCTTTTTTGTG